TTCGTTTGTTTAAAGTCCTTCTTTAGCAACAAACCGACGTTTGCAATATCCTCATCTTTTCATCAAAGTAAATAAAAAGAATTGTGTTTACAATGTCTGTGTTTCCTCCTCCCACACTTACAAGCTAAACCCTAAAGCTGCACTCTTATCATTCACCTAAGTGTATTGTACAAATAACACCAGCATTCAACACAATTGTTTGCTCGCAATTATTTCCTAACCGTTTACATTCGTGACATCGTGTATAAAACTCTATTGGAGTACATGCTTAAATTGGTAATTCTTACTTCTTCCTTCTTTTTACGCGGCAATAATAGTAATTATCACTTTTTTGCTCTCTAGGCCACACAGTTTGGGTGCCGAAAGTTTTTGTTTTTGTTTTTTTTTTTTTTTTTTTTTTTTTTTTTTTTTGTTTTTTTCCCCCTTCCTTCTGCTTCTTCTTAATGTTATATCGACTAAACTGTTCAAAGTGTCTACAGAATCGGGCAGGACCCACGAGGCCAGCTGGGTTCATCCTCACTAGACCATAACTGTCTGTCCGTGCTCGAAAAGTTTCATAAATCTTCTGTGCTAGTTATTATATTCATGCCCAATATAGGGCCAGTCAGCATGTAAAAAAAAGTAACAGAAAAAGAGGTTACCCTCGTTCTTTCCTTTTCTTAGCTTTTTCCTACTTATCAGTATCTTCACGGCGTCATTAAATGTTATCACGCTTAAAGTACGTCTCCATTCTGGTATAATATCTCTTGGTTCAGAGACGAAGGCTTCGTTTGTGATTTGCTTTGGAATACGCGTTTTTCCATGTAATTTCATCTTTTTCATTTTTCTTTTGTTTCCTTTTTGTCCTATTTCCTCTTCATCGTCATCGTCTTTTCATTTTTCTTCTTCATTTTCTTCTTCTCTACGTCGATCAGTCAAACCAATTCCGAAAAGCTATAGGGTTCACTGTCATAGTGATCAATAATATTACACTACTTGTCTTGGTACTTGATAAACTAATGTTTGGGGACGACTTCAAGCTGTACGCTTCCTTTCCTAGTTTTCTTCTCTTCTTCGTTGACGCCACGACAATACTCTAAACATGCCACGAGCTCGATTCGTAACCGTTTAATAGTTTTCTACGGTCCCACGATCGTAACATCTGTATTGTCCTCCGTTATTTCCTTTTCTAATTCAATGGATAGCGACTGGACTTTGTTGGACGCACACCCCAACCATAGGGCTATCTTCCCTTTCCGGATCTCTCTGTTTACCGGTTGAGACCGTCGACGGCTGTCTAACCATCCCATGTGTATCGGTCGTCGAGTAACCGTAATTATAGAAGTTTTGCTGCTGTATCATCGGTGAGGTCATCATCGCAGGCAGATGGGGTATACCAGGTAGAATTAGGCTATTGTACGATCCAAGAGAGCTTGGTATCAGCGAGTTGTTGTCCATGGGCTGCATGGACATTGAAGTGGACGCAGACACCCCAGTGGCTGATGTTGATGGATAGCCTGTTGTTATGCCGCGCCGACTACTTGAATGACGAGGTGAAGCCTCACATTCCATGGGTTGATAGCTACCAGGGAGGCTTGACACTTGCATCAGACTACCGCTGCTGCTGCTGCCCTGTCCTGACATGGTTACCAGTCCTATGACACCAAGAAAAATCTAATTTTATCTGCACGGATGATGGGTATTAAGCTACACTAATATATGCAATCAGTATTCACGAAAACCGCTAGCTTTTACAATCTCACTAGAGGAGTTAAGAGAAATAAAAAGTTGAACAATCTACAGGGATTTTGCAGGCATTGAACTTCACTGCTACGATTCTTGTCTTTCGACAATATCTTTGTTCCTAAGGATACCTAAGATTTCAAAAACCAAGTGCCAAAAAGTAAGTGCTACAATACACTCTGAATATAATATCCTCTTTTAAAAGATTTCAACAAACTTACTATTGTTATACACAGACAATTTCGAACATATTATTTTTATATAATTTTTAATATAATACACGATGGGTATTACTTGATTGAAAAGGTACTCGTTACAATGGTTTTTTTTTTTTTTTTTTTTTTTTTTTTTTAGCGCGTTTTTGTACATAATACCTGCTTCTTAGTTTAGTCTTTACTACCATATATTTAAAATATGCTCACAATTTATGTGGCAGCAAAAAAATGTTTCTTGCATTCCTTAGCAATATTGCTATTACTATTTTAATGCAGTTTTTTTTTCTTTTTTTTTTTTTTTCTATTTGAAAATTCAGTTGCATTTTATGAAACATCTTAATATCTAAATTATTATCTCGCGTATATAGTATTGATGCACTTTTGCAAAGTGTACGATGCAAGCGGTCTAAAGCATGCATGAAAGTATATAAAGGAAATTGAATTGAAATGAAATGACTTAACTACAAAATAGATACTATCAGCACAATAATGTGTCACATCAGTTGGAATATGTTTAGGAAAAAATTTCATCACATGTTGCTGTTTGATAATGTGCGTGTATTGTTACGTAGTAGCATGCATATCATGTAAGTGTAAGTTAAACAAATAAATAATAAAATTAATTATAGTAAATAAAGGAAGAAAAAAAAGAAACATATTCCAATAATTCTCTATCGTATTAATTATTATTCTCGGATTCTATGAGAATGTTTTATCACGATATGAAGTGTCCTTTTGTCATAAACATTGCGATGGACACAACATATACTGTACTACGCATAGATCGAGCCATGGGCTAGCAAAGTCCATCCATGGCTCAGGAAAGGGTGTTTTTAAGCAAGCAAGGCTTCGCGCAATACATCCGAGGCCAGGACATTATTATCAGGGGCATCGTTAGTTTTTTAGCTTGTAGGATTGTTTGTTAGACAGAACTTACTTATGTTAGTAAGTAAGATTAAGGTTGGGGCCTAGGACAGGTCGTCGCCGCCCCGCGGATACGACAGTCATCGAGCCACGTACTGTCCCCCCATCATATCTACGGGCAACAACAAGTATTGTTTAGTTTGTGCAGAAAGTAAAAATACATATAATTATGAAGATACATGGAGCATCAACACCTTTTTTAAATTCAAATGAAATATTATTAACCTAAGAGAAAAATGATATTTTATATCGTTACTCGCATTTATAAAATGTTTAACACAAATTAACTATTGTTGTTATATTTGAAAGAAAAAAGGAAGAAAAATAGAGAAAAAAAAAAAAAAGAAAAAAAAAAAGAAAAAACAAAAAATAGGAAAAAAAAATAAAACAAAAAGAAAATAAAAAAAAAAATAAAAAAATAGCCTTTTATTTTCTGCACAAATTAAAACTTTCCTGAATGTTCAGTACAGTGGAACTCTCCATTTTAATAATATCTCAATGGTTCTCTCATTTTATCGCTGCTCTTCTTCGTTATTTAACTTTTTGATATCGTGTGTAAATAGTACTACAACTTAAAGAGCCATATTTCTATATTGTTATATACGCGACAATGTAGTGCGAAGAGACACAACTCGTCATGCATCAAATGTGAAAAAGAGAAAGAGAGAAAGAGAAAGAGAGAGAAAGAGAGAGAAAGAGAGAGAGAGAAAGAGAGAGAGAGAGAGAGAGAGAGAGAGGAGAGAGAGAGAGCAAGAGAGAGAGAGAAAGAGAGAGAGAGAGAGAGAGAGAATTCTACTGTTTTGAAAATGCTGCACTTATTAATTGTTCAATATCTTGTTAAAAGTCTTTACGAAATTGTTCATTCTTGCATAATTGCTATATTCAGAACAATATTAATTCTGATAATGATGAACAACTGTTAAAATGATCAAGTTAAAAGGGACATTATGGATGTAATATCTCGTGTGGATGAGACGTGATAGAAATAAAATATGAAACGAATAATGAGCAGTGAATGAAATCAAGCAACACAGATGTAATATTTTGGTAAAGTTACATTTGTCATTGCAATTAATTCGTTAAACGTAGCTGTATTATCATAACAACAAGGAGCATGTGCACATTTCTCTTGAGACAAAATTTTCTGAAAGCTCTTTAAATGTTAACGCTTTCGAAGAAAATTCTAGAGTGTATAAGGTACTCAAATAAGGAAGCGTATGGATAACCGTTTAGTGCTGTGTGCACCGTGCAATCGTATATATATATATATATATATATATATATATATATATAAATATCTTCTCAAAAGCTTTTTCACTCTAAAGCAAACGGAATCTAATGAAATCTTGATGAAGTTGAAAAATACTATTTTAATCAAATATGATTCTGACTATGATGTAAGTGCATTTCTGAAGGTGCTTTTACAAAATCCAACCATTTATATCATATTAGATTATATCAAACGACCCAGAAACCTCTTCTTATTTTCACTTAATTAAAGATCGAGACTAAAGAACCCTGTAACGTTGAAGTCATCTAAAAATCAAGCGAGTTGTACTCTTGTTCTTATTTTTTTTTTTTATATATATATTACAGCATAATATATATGTGTATATATATATATATATATATATATATTACATATATATATATATATATATATATATATATATTACAGGCTGTGTTTTCGACAAACTTAGTTTGTACTTGCACGGAGAGTGAAACAAAATAGTAACCCACCATGATCCTGGCTCATAGACACCACTGCTGGACTTGTATTTGCACTATTCGCAGCAGCAATGTTCGTGTTGGTCCCCTCATCGGCTGTTCTCTTAAAGAAATTGTGCTGAAGCGCGTAGTATGGCGTAACTCTCGTCTTTGGATCAAAATCCAACATTCGTAGAATTAGGTCCTTAAATTTGAGGTAGTCAGAAATGGAGTGACCAGGTTCACCTATCCTTCTACCACCAGGACCGCCACTTTCAACGCCCAAAATTTCGTGTAACCGCCTTGTACCAGGAGGTTTATACTTTTTACCGTCTTTGGACTTTTTCAGCACATACGAGCCATCGGTGGGGACTTTGTCAAAGTATTTCCGCGCTTTATGCGCTTGGTCCAATATACGTTTTGGTGGCATGCCTAATACTTCGACAATTTTGTTCATTTGATCGACCTACGAAAAGATACGTACATACAAAAATTTATTATATGTATTATTTTAGAAAATCGATTTAGATCATAATAAGATTTAATCTAACAAACTAGTAAACTACTATGTCGTACAATGGCATCTCGTGCTTATTGATCATTATCGAGTAGTACACCATTGCGTATACGACGTTAATTAGAATAATTTGTATTTTTACCTCATTGGCCCCACTAAACAAAGGTTCTCCTGTATGCATTTCTACCAAAATACATCCCAAACTCCACATGTCTATCGCGAGGTCATATGGTATTCCTAACAGAACTTCTGGAGATCTGTAAAACCTGGACTGGATATACTGATATATCTGAAAATAAAGCACAAGAATTTAGAAATGAGAGAAAGAGCGCTATCAAAAAAAAAAAAGAAAAAAAAAAGAAAAAAAAAAGAAAAAAAAAAAAGAAAAAAAACGCTACATCTTATTATCAGCATATTCAAGGACATATACCCTTTGACCAAGTTGACACGAACTGCCGAAGTCGACTATCTTTATCGCGCTTCGTTTGGGATTGCACAAAAGAATGTTCTCAGGTTTCAGATCACAGTGAATGATGTTCAATTCCGGCGTAGACAGGAACAAGAGGGCAGTACACAGTTGCTGTGCAAATTTTCTTGTCAAATTTAACGAGACACCTCGAAAATTTGTATTCCTAAGTAGGTCATAGAGATTATACGATAGCAATTCGAATACCAAACATAAATGATTTCGCCACATAAAATGCCTCTTCAGTTTAACTGAAATCAAACGAAAAGTATTCGATTAATATTAACATTCGATCTAGGCGCCGTAAGAATTTTTGAATAAATGAATTTACCTATATAATACTTGTTGTCTGTATCCGCCCTGTTCATCATTTCCAATAACCTAACTTCGATTTGCGCTTGATTTAGAAAAGGTTTTTTATTCTTGATGATTTTTATTGCCACTTGCGTTTGCTCTTCGTGGTCAAATGCTTTTACTACTTGGCCAAAACTGCCTTTACCTATGAAACAACGAAAATATGATAGTATTAACATAGATATTATAGTTTATTATTATTAATAAAATCGTATTACCTATTAATGAATCGATCTCATATCGATCGAGGAACTTTTCCCCATTCTTGATAATGTAATCGTGGTTGTCGTCGTCCCAACCGTCATTATAAAGCTTCCTTTCCTTTTTATGCGAACCATCTTCTCCCTGCATCTGTTGTGCTCTTCTCTTCTTCTTCGCATAATAAACCTATAACAAATAAATAAAAAAAAAATACATATATACATGTATATACATATATATATATATATATATATATATATATATATATATATATATATTGACATGAATCAAATCATAGAAATTCTGTCTATTTATTAGCATAATTGCGCAAACAACTGAAAAGTTTTCTTCGCGCCTTAACCATCTGTTAGCAATGCACCTATACTATCCATCCGACACCATACTAAAGTTATAACATGCATTCATGATCCACTCACATTTATCACTTGGGTTACACACGCATACAAAAGCTCGCACACGCGCATACACGCATATACGTATTCACGTGTACAAAGAGAGACGAAATCGCGTAGAAGCAGAACATGCGGTCTCATATTTGTGCACGTATACGCAAAGCATACATGTCGTGCACCGCGCGCGCGCGCACGTCTCATTCACGCTGGCAATCGAATGATGATGACTTTAGGATAGACCTAGATACTTAATCAAACATTTTTCAATGACGATAAGAATTGTTCAAAAAAAGTTATCAAGAAATATTTATAGTATTTCGCAATTGCGATATATTAAAAGAAGATACGCAATAAAAATGGCCGTAGTCATTTTATGAGAAATACGCGAAGCTCTACAGAATTAATTTCGTTTATGATACGCCTATGCCAAGATTATTATTACCGGCGCATAATATCGAATTCTAATTTACGCATACATTCAATATTCGTATCGTAATAATAACAATGATGATAATGATGATGATAATAATAATTACAATACAATAATAATAATATAATAATAATCATTAATAATTTTAATATTATTTTATATTATTATTATTATTATTATTATTATTGTTCTTGTTGTTGTTGTTGTTGTTGTTGTTGTTATTGTAATGGCAGTAATGGTCCGCTTTATGATAGTAAATAAGTGAAAAACATGGAGGAAGCGTGCGTCCCCGCGAAGGAGTTGGAAGCGTTGCGTTTTCTCAACAAAAATGCCATGTAATTCGGTAAACGATCTGTCTGCGAGGAAAGGACGAGGTCTCGGGGAGAGGAGGGGCAAGGAGAGGAGTAAAAAGGGAAGAGGGCGCAGAATCCGATCTGCCGCCTCTCCAGCAATCGATATGCCTGCGACCACGTGAAAACCACGCCGTTCGACGGGGACGACGCCAAAAACTCCCAACACCTTGTATTACTACTATCTACTACTACTCTACTACTGTTCTACTATTGCTCTGTCGCAAACTTCATAAAAAATTGTTGTCGTCGCGGTGTGTCGTCGACCATGATGATTCAAAGGATCTCCGAAAGAACGAAGAGAATGAAACAATGATAAACATTTTTCACGCTGAAAACGAAAAGAGAGAGGCGAAAGAGAATTCCGATTGGTATGCCAATCAAACGCATTACACACCACACACTACGATCAGAGTGAAACGTCGTATTACCGAACGACGATTGTTTAATAATTTTACAAATATTATGATGCAAATTAAAAGATCAAACGTATCCCCGTGCACAAACACTTTCATTTTTTTCCGAGATTTTTTACTTCGTCGAGAAAATATATCAAGTTAAAACGAAATATTTCCTTCCTGAACGTATTATAACACAGCGGACATAATAATCTTAAATCACTATAAACTTTCCGAAAGAATTTCAATAAACGAAGGACCGTTCTAATTTCTATCCGAAAGATAAGTGATAATCCCTTTCTCTTCCCTCACCTCTTAAAACCACGTTAAAGAACGAGCCGCCCAACGTGGCGTGCGAAGAATCGTAACGCGGGAGAATATACCTCTCCTCTCGGCACTCCACGTAGGTAGAAGAAGAAGAAGAAGAAGAAGAAGAAGAAGAAGAAGAAGAAGAAGAAGAAGAAGAAGAAGAAGAAACCGGTATCGTCCCGAAGGATATACATAAGCGAATTCGTAGATACGCGATTTCATTGTCGTCTCTCTCTTTCTCTCTTTCGTCCTGTCGGAGGCAACGTCGCCGCCCGATCGTCACCGGGTGGTGTCCACCCTCCCACTCCACCTCATCGGCCCTCCCTTTCTCTTTTGTCCCCTCTTCCTCCGACAATTCTCTCTCTCTCTCTCTCTCACTCGCTCACTCGCTCGCTCGCTCCTCTTTCATTCCCAACCTTCCGCCTAACGCACACACTATCGCGTCGGTAGTTCGCATATACCAAGAGTGAACGTCTCCTACGCGTGCGTGCGTGCGTGCGTGCGTAAGGTGTGCGTGCGTGTGAGATATATAGAGAAAGAAAGAAAGACTGACAGAGAGAGGGGGGAGAGAGAGAGAGAGAAGACGATGACGCCGCTAGCCTGTTTTCCTCTCTCTCGTTTCTGTTGCTATGCGCGAGTGCATGAGACCGGCCCCATATGGTGCGTTCACCACCATCCTCGCCAAAAGCAGCCCAGGGCCACTACGAAGCGCGCGATGAGAGGAGGGAGACGGAAAGCACAGAAGCACGCGCGGCTCTCCCTACGCTGAGATAGAGAGAGCGCGAGAGAGAGAGAGAGAGAGAGAGAGAGAGAGAGAGAGAGAGAGAGAACAAGAAGACGAACAAATCCGACCAAGAGAGAAAGAGAAAGAAACGGTGGGTGGCAACATATATAAGATGCATAGGCATCTCTTTCTCTCTCTCTCTCTCTCTCTCTATCGACTCATCTCGCGACTTCGAAACGTCATCCGCGAGACGACGCACCAAAGCGCTGATCTTACGAAACATTTCTTCTTCTATTTCTTTTTTTTCCCCTTTTCTTTTTCCGTTTTTTTTTCTTCTTTTTCTTTTCATTCCTTTTTATTCCAATTTCCTTCCATAAGTACGCGATAAACACTCGCAAGATTGAAAAACGTACTCGCGTTGATAACTATTTGTTCCTGCTATTACAAGATAAATGAGATGCAAAGAGACGCGCGTACCGACAAAGTACGAAGAACTACCTCCTAAATGCTGCAATAACGTTTAGGAGAAGAGAGAGAAAGAGTCTTCGGAGAAATCTTACTAACCGTATTCGCCATATTTGTTTGGCGCGAAGTACGCAATCGTTTTAATGAGAAAACTGTCGCGCGTCAACAAAGTATCGTAGATTTTGGAGAACGGGCGAATGATTAAATTTGATCAACAATTAGAATAAATAGAAACGACACTTTCGTCGAAATTAGACATCGGCAAAGATTAGAAAAGCCAAAATACGCGCTCTTTTGAATGTGCACCGGGAAGTGAAGAGGATGGATCAAGTAGATACTACTTAGTCCTCGAGCCGTTAGCGATCGTCCTGCCATCTTCTTCGATTTTCTCTATTTAAAGCGCGTAATTTATATTCTCAAAAGCGTATCGCTAAATGATCGTTTCTATTTTTACTTCGCGCTCGAGCGTAAATCGTTAAATCGGAAATATCAGAAAATGATGCGTTTCGTTACGGTGAGATGGTAAACGATACGACGAGGATTTCTCGCGTTTATGCGACAAACGAAATAAACTAGCGCTCAGTGAACAGCCCGGATAGGGGCGTCCCACTTTCGAAACCCGGTTTGTTAAGTCTTAATAGAACGAAATTATAATGCCCGGGAATAGAGTCGCGAAATCGTCAACGTAGGAAATTACTCGAGCTCGAGGACGCTCGCTGCTATTATTCTTTCCTGCGTTTTTTAATAATATATACAAGCTTTAGAATCTCTCTCTCTCTCTCTCTCTCTCTCTCTCTCTCTCTCTCCCTTCCTCTCTCTCTCGTATTATTAATAAGATTTTGATTTAGCACAGCGGATTGATATTTGTTCTATCGAATTTTTAAAACGCAATCCTCCTATCGTAGATCGTTTCTTCATGCCGCGCGATAAAGAGTATAGAGAATTTTCGAGATAGAAGAAAAGAGAGGGTCTGTTATGGTCGAAAGAGCACCGACGATCGAGGCCGTTTTGCAAAGAGCAAGAATATATAAGACATCTTTTTTCGTGCGGTCCTCGCGGCAAGAGGGGTAAGATGGAAGCGGAGGAGGAGGTCGAGAACGTGAGGAAGATTACGAGGAGAAGAGAAGACGACTAACGCCATCGGATGGTCGTGGAGCCGTTATGAATCTCTGCATCGAAGAAGAAGAAGAAGAAGAAGAAGAAGAAGAAGAAGAAGAAGTTGGATAGATGGAGAGGAGGAAGAGAGAAGAAACAGAGATAGAAATAGAGAAACGACTGCGGAGGAAGAGGAGAGGGAGGAGGAGGAGGAGGAGGAGAGGTGACTAGGTAGGCAGCAGCTGGAGGGTGGGAGTAGACTGGCTGGAATTGGAAGGGGAATATGACGGAAAGAGAGATAGAGAGAAGAGAGATAGGAAAGATGAAGAGTAGGGAGAGAGATAGTGAGAGATGGAAGGGGCGTGATCAGGACTACCGGCCGAGTCATGAATGAAGTGACAGACGAAACGAGCGAGAGAGCAGCCGCCGCCGCCGCCGCCGCCGCCGGCCCAGGCCGTTCCACGACCTTCCGGAACGTCTGCGTTCCACTTCTTCCCACCTCCTCTCCCTCCTCGTTTTCCTTCTGCTCTTGCGCGTCCTCGCGCTTTTTCGCGGATCCAACCGCGCGCGATCTTCCAATTCTCTCTCTTATATTCATGATTTATCGATTCTCCAGTCCACCTTTGGATATCTCTCTCTCCCACCATTTTCAAACGCACCAGAGAGCGGACCCCTCCGAACCCATTACGATTCCTTCCCACCTTATGATATTAGACAAATCAATAATGATACTTTCGCTCAATGATATTCGTAGGAACTTTACGGCGTTGTTAAGGAGTTTGGTCGGGAATTCGAAGCGCCTTCTCTTTCTTTCCTCGTTGAAAGCGCCGAGGAGAGGTCTCTCTCTCTCTCTTTCTCTCTCTCTCTCTCTCTCTCTCTCTCTCTCTCTCTCTCTCTCTCTCTCTGTGGCACTACTACTTTGTTCGCTTATAACCGGCTTTCGATTTTTTCTTTTGCTTTTTGTTGTTTCCTTTTTTTGTTTCTTTAAAGTCTCAAGGTAAC